CCCCCCACCAAATGAAGTGCATTTTAAAAACTCACTTATGTCCTCAGCTTCTCAAATGACAAATCAGAAGATAATGTCAAAATCTGATGGAAAAATAAATAAAGATTTGGGAGAAGGAATAATGTTAATGACGTAAATCCTCATCTTTTATGTCAAGGAGTCAGTAGATACTGTTTAAAGTCAAAGAGAGGATTAAGCACATTATTAAGACTGGGGCAATTGTTCCCAACCCCATCTGATGTTGTTTATAAACACATGTTTGTAATGACCCTTCTGTGCTCCTCAAATGAAATCCAAATCAAAGAAAAGAAATCAACATAATTCATAATTTACTATGAAGGAGAACCAAAAGTAATTTAATGATTAGTGTCTATCTCAATGTGTAAATTCTCAGATACAATGACACTGGAAAATTGTAATGAAGTCATCCAATGAGCAACCTAATTGTAGAATCATCATAAATGGACAGCTAAAAGGCCACCTCTCAAGATGTGTTGTTTGATAATTCAAATACCAAGAGTGGTCTTTCCATCAGGGTCGTGACATTCCAAAATGGTGGACAACTTTGTAAAGTTCCCAGCAAAATAAAGTGCAGTCTTCCTTTAATTTAATTGCATCCCTGGGGAAAAAAATCTACATTTCTTAAAGCCACCCTAAACTATCTTGTGTTTGTATGTGAGATGAAGTTATGTTTTAGGCGCTGATAATTAGAAGCAGATTTTTTGTCTATATGAATGGCCAGAGGACATTACAAACTTGAATGAGAAACAAGGATATGTCTTAATTGTGCAAGACCATCCTGTGCATTGCATTGCCTGATGCCTCATCTCAGGTCCACTAAATGCCAGTAGTGTACCCCCATCACTGGGGCAGGGAGGTGCACCAAAAACACTCATGACAATATCCGAACTGCCTCACCTCCATAAGTCTAGATTATGAAAGTTACCTCCAGAAGAATCCAAACAGGAAATAGTTAAAAGAGGTTGCCTCTGAAAGTGAGGTCACTGGTTGGGCAAGAAAGGCTGGGAGACAGTTGTTTTTTATCATCAGCTTTTCTATTTAATTGCTACCATGGGTATGCATCACACACACACATGAGGGGAAAACCCCCTCCAAAATGGAATTGTATTTTGGAGGATGGACCACTTGTGGTACACTCAGAATTTGTTCCTCTGGATCAAATGGTCAACCAAAGATTTTATCTGGAAGTTTTGAAAGGACTGTATCAAAATTTGCAGAAGAAATGTCCAAGTTGTGGCAAACAGGTAACTGGTTCTTCCACCATGACAATTCACCTGCCTACACCTTGCTGAGTGTTCAGCAGTTTTTGACCAAAAACGACACTACCCCCGTGCCCAACCCTTCCTATTCATCTGATCTCACCCTGAGTGATATTTTGTTTCCCCAGATGAAAAAAGTCCTGAAAGGGAAACATTTTGCCAATGTGGAAGTGGTGGAACAAAAAAAGGCAGAAGCACTAAAACGCATCAACATCGAGGAGTTCAAAAACTGTTTTGAGCAATAGAAAAAGCAGCTCGGTAGGTGTAATGTATTAAATGGAGAGTACTTTGAAGGTGACTGAAGTTTAAACATGTAGGGATAAATACACAATTTTTATAAATTCTGGGTTTTTTGAGTCCCCCTCATACACACACGTGTGTGTGTGTGTGTGTGTGTGTGTGTGTGTGTGTGTGTGTGTATGTATATACATATAAAAAACAAAGCACTTGTGTCCATTGAGTTTTCAGTTCTATTCTTCTGGGCTCCTGAGACCTTATTTCCAGACCTACCCCATCTGTAAAATGAGTATAGCCATAATCCTTAACTTATCTCATTTACTGTAGGGATTAAAGAAGATAATATTAGTAAAGTACTTACCATTTGAGGCTCAATAAATGATAGCTGTTGATGCAGATCTTATTGTTGGTGACATTATCGTGGTCATCCCTTCTTTTTACCTAGAGAAGCCTGAGGGATCCCTAGGATAGCCAGAATACAGCTTTACGGTGAGGGCATTTCAAGCTTTTGCAATGCAGAAAGGGAAGGAAGTACCTGGCCCAAATTTTTGCCTCTTATTCTTTTAGGTAGGAAACACCCTCACTTGGCTCTGCATCTACTCAAGAGAGTAGAGAGAAATTATTGATTTCCACTCTATCATGTAGTGTTTCATTTGTTTGTCTACTTATTGGTGAGGAGTGGAGGTGAGGTGGCCTTGAGTAGAAGCGAGTAGACAGTATCCCAAAGTAGCAAGAAGCAATGGGAATAAACAAAAATAACTTTCCTCTGTTGTTGGATTGTTCATCATTTAATTAGAAAAAAATCATTTGAGTTTAAATGCATACCTTTTATGACTGCACATGCCCCCAAAGACTAAAGATCACTCATACCTTGAGTGTGAATTTAGATGGCTTTCTAAATGCCTATGCACGGTCAGCCTTCCCGAGATTAGGCAAGTTTAATGGAAGATGGAGTGATGGGAACTCTCCTTCTTCCATGCTTCTGTAAAGCACAGAGCTCTAGGAGACGGGAACAACTGGCACCCAGCCTAGGAGCAGCCCAACAAGTATGGCAACCCAGAAGACCTAGGAGGAAGAGCTGACAGACCTCGGAGAGGAATTTGAGATAATGAAAGCACCCTCAACATAATCAACTTTGCCTCCTCCTACATTTTGCTATGTTCAACTTTGGAATGGAGGAGGAGAAAAACGTAATTTCTGCTTGCAAGATGTTTGGGGACTAATTGTCCTCTTAGAGTGGGAGAAAACATGACTCTTCTGTGGCCTCTTCCAGTCACCAGTAGGTGACAAATGGAGGTTTCCCATCCCTCTGTGTCTTTAGTTTTCTCCTGAGGACCTTCTTGACCATCACGTGAGGACCCTAGATTCCCTCTCATGGTTTCCTGGTTATCATAAGGTCCTGGAGATATTAGATCTTATCACAGGTCACACACTGAGTACATGGTAAGTCTACATTTAGATTTAAGCTCAGTTCTATGTGGATTTAATCCCTGTCCACTCTACCATGTTACTGTTTACAGAAGATGCTTCCAGATGGTAGGATTGCTGGTCTGGGCTACAAGGAATAAGTGCAGAGCCTCAGCTGGGGGTCCATTCTGGGGACCCCTTTCAGAATCAGTGCCCAGTTTGGCTGTATATCCTGCAGTATCTTATAGAATCACAAGCTAGAAGTGAGGAGGATGCAGGCAAAATAGAAAACACCAGCATCCCAGGGGGCCCTGGATCTCATAGTTGGCTAAGGCAGTTCCTACCTTTGAAACACATGTCATTTAAAGTTGTCTCCTGTGAGTCAGAATAATTGGCAAGTGATTTTTCTTTGGTTTGTACTGAGCGTTTCAATCTAGAACTTGGGGCTGTGTCTACCTCTAATGCTTGTGTCGTTCACAGGACACTCTGTATTTGTGGACTGTGGCTGAGTTACCCACAAACATGAATCTAGAACAGAGTACATAGCACTGCATCAGGAACTCACAATGAATGCCAAAGAATATAGTTAATCTGACTGTGTGTCCTTGTGTATGCAGATGAAATTGAAAATTGAACCATGCACAGAGCTCAAAAAGTATGTAGCTCATCATTTCTATTAGTGGACAATGATTTCTCTTCTCTTATACTTCCCAATTGCTTAGTAACAATGAATTTGGTGGCCTCTTGGAAACAATTATGTTGCTTTGGGCTGGAATTTTGATATCTCCTTTCTAAGTAATCCTTGAAAATGTGTCATAACATCTCTGAGGTAAAGGAAACTTGGTAACTCATCCAGTCCAATCCTCTGCATTCAGTAATCTCTTGTGTCTCATCCACGTCTGTTAGTCATTCAGATATATTTGAATACTTTTCATGACAGGGAGCTCACCACTATTATTTCTCAATAACTGTGTTAAAGCATTTTCCATCCCAAGCTACTATATATCCCAACTTCCATTGCCTATCCGCAGGGGAGGCTCCTTTTATTCTGAACTAGGTAGAACTTCTTTATTATAAAAACCAAAGTGTTTACGATTATTAAAAACTTTTGTGAAACATTCAGGCGATGGAAAAAAAACTTTTGTGAAAAATTAAAAAAATCTCTTATTGTGCTGGTTGTCCTATGGTAAACATTGTCTAATTTCCCAAAGTTCCCCTTCAAATGGGAACCTCTAAATCAGATGTAAATCTCCAGTTGGTTAGGGTAAAACACTTTCTTCCCTTGAGTTGGAAATACTTTGGTAATGTGTATTTTTTGTTTTCATTAAGGTAAAATTCATACAACATGAAGTTAGCCATTTTGAAGTATGGAATTCAGTGACACTCAGTATATTCCCAGTGTGGTGAAAACATTGACTTCAGCCCAGAGAGAATCCCATATCCATTAAGTAGTCTCGCCCCATCCCTTCCTATTTCAGGCCCTGGCAACCACTAATCTGCTTTCTGTCTCTATGGATTTGCCTTTTCTGGATTTTCATATAAATTGAATCATGTAATATGTGGTTTTTGTGTCTTGGTTTCTTTCACTTAGCATAATGTTGTAGCACATAACAGTACTTTATTCCATTTTTATTGCTGAAATGATATACCACTGTATGGATGGACCATATTTTGTTTATTCATTCATCCTTCAGACACTTGGGTTGCTTCCCCCTTTGGCTATTGTGAGCAATGCTGCTGTGAGCATTGGTGCACAATTATCTGTTTGAGTCCCTGCTTTCAATTCTTTTGTGTGTGTGTATTTATTTATTTTAATATATATTTTATTTTAAAGATGTGGGGTACAATTCAGGATTAGATATACAAGTAGACATCATACAGATAAAGTTTGGGCCTTCCTTTGGTCCCCATTTTGCCTGGTTTGCAGATATTTACTAATCAATGTAATCCCCAAAACAATATATCAATGTAATTTTGTGCATTTAGAGGAGAAATATTTCTTGGTTAAGTAGAAAATTGTGTGAATGGCTTCTGGAAGACCCCCATTCTAAGCAGCTTTAAAGTAAAGCATTTCATCTAGAACTCTGGAACTTCTTTCTTCAGTTTTCTGTAATCTACATTCACTGAGTAGATTCGCATTGCTCATTGGGATCCATTTTGTTCCAGGGCTCTGGCTTATTCTTTCTGTCCCAACTAACATCTAGACTGAACATTGCCAGATGCAAGAGATACAGTGTTGCTCCAGTACCTCCAGCTCCAATACATACAAAGAGGGGGATCAAGCCCCAGTGCTTCTTGGTCTGACTGAAGATCTGGTGGAACATGTTTGTGGCAGAGGCCTACGTTGCAAAGGGAACAAAAAACAAACCTGCCTTCTGGGCTCTGGATTAACTTGTCTCCATGTTTATCTTTCTGAGAAACTACTATATTTCCACAGTGACTGTACCATTTTACACCACCAATGGCGTATGAGGGTTCCAATTTCTCAACATCTTTGCCAACACCTGTTATTTTCCATCTTTTAAAATATAGACATTGTAGTAGCTATGAAATGGTATTCTAAGTAATAGGTTTTTTTTTTTAAAGATTTCCTTGCCATGGCCTCCGAGGCCTTGCCTAGGCTGACCCTAATCTCCCGCTGCATGCCCCCATCCTTTCTACTCCAGCTTCACTCACCCTTCTTCCAGGCTGTCTCTTTCAATGCATGGCCTCTGCACATACTGTTCCCACTGCCTCTTTGTCTGGCTGGATCCTAGGCGTTGTTTAGCTCTCAACCTGAGCATCACCTCTCCAAAGAAGCCTTGTCTGACCTCCCCACTGGATCAGATGACCCAATTGAATCTCATTGCACCAAACACTTCCCCTTTCTAGAACCTTCTCCTAGCTGCAAATTTACTTCAGATTGTGTGAATACATAACATTTGTTGTTCTCCATTGAGACATGGCTATAGTGGAAGTGAAATTAAAATGTGCAGATTAATGAATGAAAAACATTTTTGGCAACCCCTTCTGATCCCCTCGCACTGTGGGAGCTTTTCTGTCCTCTCAATAAATCCTGCTTTAAAAAAAAGGAAAACATTTTGAGGAACCTGTGAGACTTTGAATTTATAGCTAACTAAAATCTGAAAGTCTTTTGAACATAAAGTTCTCTAAATTCATGTGCCATCACCTCCTTCCCAGGATTCTGCTCCTGCAATAATAGCTTTTTGTCTCTCCTGCATCTCATTTTTAACAGGTTATTTCCACTGGTTCATACACATAGTCTAGACACTGCATCATTTTCCTGATCTCCTTAGCAAAACCTCTCAGAAGAGTCATCCATACTTGCCTGTAATTTCTCACTTCCCCCTCTGTGGAGCCCACTCTGATAAACCTGTGTCCCCATTTTTCCACTGAAACTGCTCTTGTCAAGGACACAAATGATCGATCACCATCTGGCAAAATGATACTATTACACCTCCATTTTTCTAGAAACACATTCTTATCTTGACTACCATGAACTCACACATTCCTAGTTTTCCTTCTGCCTCATTGGATGCAACTTTTCAGTCTTATTTGCTACTACCTAAAGTGATCTCATCATCATGTTTATTTATTAATTGTCAGTTTCATCCAGTAGATTGGATGCTCCATGTGGGCAAGAATTTTGTTTGTCTTGATTGTCATGGTAACCTCTGTGTGCAGAATGTATCAGATGCTCAACTCTTTGTTAAATGAATGAATATCTTCTCCGTTTGAATTTATGTAATTATGGACATAAAGATCTTTAAAATTCTTGTTTGTGTAAAAGTATCGTGGTACTTTCTAAATATCATTCTGTGTCTTGATTCTTCTACCTAGCATGTTAGCTACCCCTCCTACTCTTGACAAGTGCTTTCAAATTTTCACCCACCTTATAGATAAAAATATTGATCCTAACAATCTTCCTTCAGGGTGACCTCGATTCATTGATCAGCATTCTTTGAGCAGTATTGTTTTCAGCAATTTAGATAATCCTCGATTGTGCTGATACCTAACACACATTTCTGTATGTTGTCCACGAGGAAATAACAACTTCTGTTGTGGAAAAAGTCCACCATCTGTTTAGTGTGCAAAAAGTCTTAGGTTTATTCAGCTGTTCAGCTGGGACAGGCACCTGTCAGTAGGGTGATTTCCTAAATGCACCATACGCAAGGCCCATTGAAACCCCAGAAAGAGGAGCAGATGTAACAATTCTGCAACCCACTGCATGTTTTGATGCACAGAAACTGCCTGATGGAGAAGGAACCATCTCATGTACCATATTGCAGTCAAGGTCAAGGAACATCTGCAGTACAACAGTTTCTGCTGCTCCAATGAGGCTGTACACTCACTATGGTCTCAGACTCTGTTGTCCTGTGAATGACCATCCCATTGCTTTAGCACTCCCTGAAGCCCAGGCTGGATGTGGAGCATGTCCTTATTCTCCCACCTAGAAACTTTATCCAGGAAAACGACAAAGTTGTGGGTGGGGAAAAAACTGTTGTGGCTTAATATATTCTGCTTCCCAATAATCATCTCTTTCTTTTAAAATATGCTCAGTGCTGGGCGTAGTACCTCACACCTGTAATCCTAGGACTTTGGGAGGCCAAAGTGGGAGGATTGCTTGAGGCCAGGAGTTTGAGACCAGCCTGAGCAACATAGTGAGACTTTGTCTCTACAAAAAATAAAAATGAAAAGATTAGCCGGGTACTGGTAGGATGTGCCTATAGTTCCAGCTACTCGGCAGGCTGTGGCAGGAGGGTTGCCTGAGTCCAGGAAGTCGAGACTGCAGTGAGCTGTGATTGTGCCACTGTACTCCAGCCTGGGAGACAGAGTGAGACTGATTTAAAAGAAATATCACGGACTATTTCCCTGTTGGATTAATGAGCTAGGGGTAGTTAGGAAAAGCATTATCAAAACTTTGCAGAAGAGAAAATTAAGATCCATAGTGGTATAGCACCTTAGTCATGGTTCTAAGACTCAAGTCACAAGGACTCCTTGTCAATTTCCCTTCCCACCTGTCAATATCAGCATTCACTTAGAAGTGTCACGTACTGACTAGGTGACCTGATGTTTTCTTTTGGACAAGTTACCTAATCCCTTTGAACCTGTTTCATCATCCTTGAGAGGCAGATAAGAATACCATTGACTCATGCTACCTTTATGGAAGTTTGAGGAGGTTCACAAGACAGTGTTTGAAAACACAAGGTTTAATTAAGGTAAAGCCTTGCCTTCAGGCTTACTATTATTGTTGTTATTGCTGTGAACTATCAAATCAATGTCTCCCTTTATTCTAGATGGAGACTCTGGGAAGTCCAAGGTCAAGATGCCAGCAGATTTGCTGTCTGCTGACAATCCACTTCCTGGTTTATAGATACCACCTTCTTGCTGTGTCTTCACATGACAGAAGGGGCTGGGAGTCTCTCTTATTTTTTAAAATTTTTTATTTCAAATAAGTGAGCTATAATTCAGGGTTAGGTGTACAAATGTTCATTATGCAGATACCCTTATTGATGAGGTGCGCCCCCCCATCTCTGTTATAAGAGCACAAATCTCATTCAGGAGGGCTCTGCAATCATAACCGAATCACCCCCTAAAACCTTCTAATACCATCACCTTGAGGATTAGGATTTCAACGTAGAAATTATAGGGGTGGGATGCAAGCATTCAGCCCATAGCACAGTATTCATTCTTAGCTTGCCTGGAGATGCCTTCAGGACTGGCTGGACTCATCTCCCTGTTCCCCTCTGTGTCCTTAGTCACTCACACTGAGTGTTTATTGATTGAGTGAATAAATAAATATAAAGACAAACCTGGGATCAAACGTAGGCCATTATTAGCTGAGCCACAGTTTCTCCATCTGTAAACTGAAGATAATAGCCTTCTTGCAGGTTTGGTATGAGGATTTAAATAATAGCTATTTGGTGTTTTTCTGTTTTCTACATTCAATTTAAACTCACCCCCCTTTTCATAATGGTATGTACTTTACATTTTATTTTTTCTTTCCTTTTTTTTTTTTTTTTTTTGCTCCTTGTCAAAGGCAGAAGCAAACTTGGAGGTAGATAAGTCTGCTTTCTCTGTCATCTGATCTGCTCCAAGCTGTACTTCTATTCATTCTTTGCCCCTCCTTTGTCTAGTCATGAGTTTAAAAATATCCTTTGTGCTTCGTGGGTCACAAATACAAGCATAGCACACACAAGGATAAAATATTAGCCAATCAGTCAACCTACATAATGTTCTTTTTTGAATAAGGCAATCAAAAAACCTAATTCTATTTCTAAAAATTGTTATGTTTCTCTTGACTTCTGAAATGCAATTGAATTTGAGATAAAGAATCAAAATCCTTGAGGAGAATTACACTGAAGTAGTTTTCTATCTGCAAACAGGTCATATTTTGGGAGCAATTTCCCAATATGTAAAATGAATAATGATTGCTTTAGAATAATCACAATTGCATCCCCAAAAGGGAATTTTATCTCAGTTAATTTTTTCCTTTGTCCTGTCAAATGATGAATTCTGAAGCAAGGATAAAGCACTGCATTCTTTTTCAGCACTGAATAGCACACCCATTATCTTTCACAGTTTCTGTGTTTGCCTGCCATGAGTGCGTTGGAAAACAGTGGTTTTGTGATTTAAACTTATCACTCGAAATGCCATTTAGGAAGCCGATTTGCTAATCGACCTTTACGTGTATACATCTTTGTGCCACAGCAAAGGGCCGGGGGTGGGGGATATGTAGGAGTGTGGCGATGAAATAGGAAAGTAGGATTACTCCTCTCTCTACATTTGGCTCCTGCTTTGCTGAGGAGTCTGTGTGGGTGGTGAGAGCAGATTGGCCATCTTCGAAAACTGGGCTTCTCCTCTGGGGGAGAGAGGCCCCTTTGCAGCAGCTGTGCACAGGGCTTCTGTGCCTCCCCTGGGGTTGGCTATGTGCTTTGACTCTGCCTTCAGACCCAGAGCCGTTGGGGATGGTTCTCTTCACTTTCACTCTTCCTGATTGCGTCGTGTCTCACCTAGCTGCCTGCCGACCTACTTGAGCCTGGCTCCCTCCTTGGAGAAGTTAACTATCAAATTCTAGCAAGGAGGGCAAGTGGTGATGATGGGTGTTGCTTGGTCTGCTTCAGCAAACTATATTCCTCTGAGAAGCAAGCCCAGTAATTCAGCTAAGAGTCAGGCCTGAAACTCAGGCGGATGGGGGATTCAAGTCCTGCCCCTGGTTTCACATAGGCTGTGGGACTTTGAATGATTTCAACTTGAAATCCTCTAGAATGGAAGAAGAAACCTGCCTTTCTTAATAGGTTTGTTACAAAACGAGTTAATGCACTTAAAGGGGGTAGTGCAGAGCTT